ATAAAAACATATTCGGATCATTCGAAGCATGCAGTAAATAAGTTAACTTAAACTATCTTTTCTTAAAATTGAATGGTAAATAAGTTCACCCATGTCTCATAATCCCAACATATACTCCCTCCGTCCCTAAATAAAGTTCCTCTTTCGTTTTTTCTTTGTCCCTAAATAAACTTCTCTTTTCCTTTAAAAAACCCCTTTTACCCCTTACTTTTTCATACCCTACCTATCACATCATACCTTTTTACTAATAATCTACATATCACATCTTACTTTAACACATCACATCAAGGGTATTTTTGGAAAGTCAACACCAAAATATCCATCCCTTAAATCCTTAAAAAGTCAAAAATGGAACTTTATTTAGGGACGGAGGGAGTATAACTTATTGTATTACGTAAAGGAATTATTTGGCCAATTTGGGTACTGCCAAAACACTTGTGTTGCTCGACTAATATGAACTTCAATAATTCATATTTTTAGGTGGACGATAAATATCAATATTCCTTAGAGAATAAAGATTTGAAAGTACATGGATGGATTTGTCAAAAACCACATGTTGGCTTTTGGATAATCAAGGGCAGTAGTGAATTCCTCTCAGGTGGCCCAATAAAACAAGATCTTACATCTCATGTCGGTCCGACTTCCTTAATGGTACGTAAAGGAATTATTGTCGTGAGGTGTCGGTTTGTCACCATTGAAACATAATTTTTTTTATTTGTATGTTATATAAAGCATAGTATTGTGTCTTTTACAATAAATCTCCAATTAGAATCCAAACTAACTTTGTGGGATGGTTCTTCAAATGAACTCCATGCCACTCTAACAACAAACTCGAGATTCTCAAATCGCGGTGGCAATCTTATCAAGGTTTAGAAACAATTACCGCAGGCTAGGGAATGATCAAATCTTACACGTGCTTGCAATGTTCACACCTGATCTATTACCTTCCACCTCAGTAATTTCTAGATGTTCCCTCTATAAAGTCTAACATCATCTTTGTCCATTTCATTCTGAAATACAATAACTGCACCTGTATGTTTAACTCAGAAGAATTTCTTCTCTTAGACACTCAAATCCACGCAGGTGAAGTAAAACGCCATGTGATCATGGTCTGTATTTTCTTCCTCCAACCTAGCCCAAGTCCTCTGTCCCCATTGCATCTCCCTTTGACCATTTGTTTATAGTCTCCTCCCCCTATGGGTATGGTTATCTCAGTCATTTTTCATCTCTAGTTATGAAGTGTATTCTTAGTTAATTAGTTAGGTTTTACTTATTCAGATGTAATAAAGTGTGATTCTTTCTCAATAGCAAAGTCATGTCCTTTTAGCCTTTATATTATCATACAAGTTTATTGCTATGCCTTTTAAACATATTCACTTGGATTTATGAGAGCATACATTTAATCATTCTTTGGTATTCCTTCCTTTAGTTGTTATATTTATAACCTCACTTCGCTCTACCCCTAAAAATAGAGGTCCAAAGCTTAAAACACCATTGTTAGCTTTCACAAATGGTTCATACTCAATCGAAAAAAAATAAATATATTTCAGGGAGAAAATGACAACGAATTCGTCAACTCCACATTTGGTTAGTTCCTTTTCAATATGAGCAACCTAGTTCAAACCTTATGTCCTTATACTTTGAAAAAATGTTGTGGCAGAATGCAAACACAACTATCTCGTTGAAACCATGGTTACTCCCCTTTATCCATCTTATTTACCTCCCACCTTCTTGGTAAAGGAATTAAAAACCACCAATTATCTCATCAACTGCATACACACCAAGAACTTCCAAAATTCCTCTCCATTTGAAATCCTTTAAAACAATCCTCGTAACTACTCTCACCTTTTGAGTCGTTGGCTATGTCTTAGACCCATGGCTACATCCATCCCAACATTGATCACAACATAACCTTACTTCTGCACTGGCCTTGTGTCTTTCTTACTTACCACCCCACTACAAAAGGTTAAAAGTTTCTTGTTCCTGTAAAACACAAATTAAATTTCTCCCCTTACATCTCGTTCGTTGAGAATCATTTGCTTTACACCTCACTCCTCTCCACACCGCCAATGAAATTCATTTCCTGTATCAGAAATATCTTGATAGTTTCTCCATGTCTTTCTATGCAATGCACACGGGTGCCCCGTACTACATCGACCACATCCACTTCAGTCCACACCCAAAAAAACAATGTGCCACCATATCATGCAACCACTAACCTATGATCTTCCTCCGCCTGCCTACTTGTTCCAACACCCATTCACCACCCAACCCCAAAAAACAAACCAACATGCTCCCCTATAGCCAGTCTCTGAACTCTTAACATGACCTTCTATCATTACTCATCAAATGACATTGTCTGTCAAATAAGGCATTTATAAACCTAAAACCATATAGTCAGCGTCCCATCCAACACCCCCATTTTCAAATAAGGCATCTCATTTACGTACACTTCACTACGTTTGCACGGTCATCTAGATCAAGCTAGAGTTTTTCCAAGTTTTCACCATAATGATGATGCCATCGAATATACTAGGGGAATACCATATGTGCAGGTGCTATGCCATTGACATATACTAAGAGAATACCATAAGTGCCATCGACATATACTAGGAGAACGCCATCGGCATTATGGTGAATGCTTAGAGAAACCATAAGTGTCGATGGTATTCATGTCACTATACACCTTTTTGCCCAAACACCTCCTACTTGAGATTTGATCGCATTGTTGTGATTAGTCAATACATCTCTACTCGACGGTATAATTTCATAATTAATTGACAATTTTATATTTTCAGACTTTGGGTCCGTCTCATTAATAAATTCTTTTCAATCAATTAATATTTATGGACCCGTTAAATAAAAGTCTCCATATTCATTTATTAAAACAATTCATATCTTGATATCACAAGAGAATAATTATAATCTTAAAAAAATAATATTTTATTATTTAAAATAACTAATTCATCATAAATAAAATATATTTATTTATTCAAAATAGTGGTTAGCTCTAAGGTCGGTTTTTAGGGCGTTACAATGGACTACTTAGATAACTATAACCTGGTTGTGAAGTGGCATGTCATTCATATTTTTCTCCCTCTTGCTCCTGAGTGGTCACCACAATAATTTGATGTCTCCATTTGCCTTTTTACATGACTCATGGCCAACATGTGTGCAAACTGTGGCAGTCTCTAGGATCTCAAGCAAGCTCCCCGAGCATGGTATAATCAATTATCTTGTTTTTTTAGGCATTTGGTTCACTACTTACACTTATGGTACTAGTCTGCTCACTCTTCAGGTATTGGAATTCTCCTAGTATATGAAGATGGCATCATCATAACTGGCTATTCTCTACTATTAAAATTGAGAATGCCAAGTCCATATAATGAGATTTCAACATGAAATATTTTGGCCTAAAAATTTCTTCTTTAGTATTAATGTATGTCGAATAAACATTATTTCTCTCATCCATTAGACCAAATTCACATGCAATCTTGTTGACTAGCCTAACACATTCAATTTTCAATCACTCATGACAACGACGGCTGTAAGCCCCACCCTGGATGATGTCGATGTCCAATTTAATAATGTATCACCCCTCAATAGCATGTTGGTGGTTAACAATATTTGACCGTCACTCGTCTTGAAATATTAAACACTCAACCATATCACTAGGGCCATCCATAAACCTATAGTCAAAGATTTTCACTCCCAAGACTGCATCCTATGCTACATCAAAAGCACCACAACTCGTGGATCTAGAAGGGCGCTTTGAAGCTTTATGTGTGTGTTGACTCATGTTGGCCTGATAAAAAAGACAATAGATGCTCTAAATCACATTTCTTCATTTTTTATGCCCTAATATAATCTTTAGGCCCCCCAAAAACAAATCTCAAGTCCTGTTCTCTTCTACCAAATACGAATAAAAGCAATGCATCTAAGTGATTCTAAAATTATATCATGCTTCTACATCACGCCTCCATTTTGATAATGAGTCCACCATTTGTGTTGCAACAATCCTAGTTCTCCAAAATAGTAAGAACTATGTGGGTGTTGAAGTTCATCATGTCACTTCTTTAGAATAATTTATTGTTCACACCTCACAAAACCTCTTTGAGTTTTATCGTTGTGCTGTTAGCTCAAAGATGCCCACACACAAATGAACAAGCTTATATAGGAGCATAATAACTTATATTACATTCGTTTTAACAAATGTGTTTTTATGAAATATAGTATTCTTTTATTCTTTAAAAACAATAACTCTTCATTATCAAATGAGACCCTATATTGTACTCCGTATCAAGTTTTAGTAAATGTATTTATATAATTTAATTTTTTTAAAATATATAATTTTCATACTTATTATGTGAACTTTAAAAATTATGTTGCGCGCACACACACACACACACACATATATATACACACACATATATAGATACATACATACACACTACAAAAAAAGGTGGCAATACCGACAGGGGTCAATATGTCGCTAAATGTTGAATATCTGTCGCTACTCGCTTTTACCGACAGATAATTGTCTGTCGCTACGCTGTCGCTAAAAACTCCGTCAGTAAAAGTATTACCGACAGATAAAATGTACTGTCGCTAAAATAGTGTATTAGCAACAGACCAAAGATGTCACTAAAAAAGAGAGAAGTACCGACAAAACATATATGTCGCTAAAACATGGATTACCGACAAAAGATAGTGTGGGTAAATCCTTCTTTTCTGTCGATAATGCCTTGTTTTTACTAACATTTATTATAACTGTCGTTAAAAGTTGGATTACCCACAAAAAATTGTGTGGGTAAAATATTTTTTAATATCGGTAATAGTTTATTTTGACCAACATCAACATTCATTATTACTGTTATTAATACCATGTTTCACACCAGCATGCTCTATTTAAATGATATCAAAGAATTTCATTGACAAATAAAAAATAAAACTCATACTTGTAATAACAACAATACATAATAAGATAACATTTCAAGGAGTTACAACTAACCCATTTACTAGAAAGTAAACCAGCATCTCAAAATTAGTTCATCATTTGCGTACGTTTCAAGCTAAAGTATAAACAGTCAAAGTTAAATAAATTAAAATACGCATTGATATGGAAGATATAGTTCAAAGCTTTAATGCTCGTCACTGTCTACATATCTTCAAGTTCATCGCTCTCAGCTTCATCTTTGTTCCATCGATCCTCATCATGCCTTTTCTCACTGGTTGCATTACCATCAATTGTAAGATCATCGATTCAGATTGATTAGCTATTGAACCTATTCAAAAAAAATTATAAGCACATGATAAAGTAATTACAAATTTTGCACCAAATTTACCTTACACTCATGTTAGGTGACATAACTTTAAACTATATAATGAACTACACTAAAATCAAATGAAATATGGATAGTTAACAATGATAAATAGAGACTAACCAGGGTATTTAAAAGCAATGGCACTACATCTTCTAAATTCTAGAGTTTCTCTTTTGTTTCTTCATGCTCTTGTTCAATTTTCAATCTTTTTGCTTTCTCCTCCTTCAAGGCACACCGTTCAGAACGAGATCGAGGAACTCAAACTCCCATAAATTGACAAGCAAAAATTGCCAACAATCAAACAAAAATCAAGCCATAATGTTCATATATTAAACAATTATCAAGGAGGGAGTACTTGAAAGCAGGTGTAAAATTAAACGAGGGATGAGTATCACCCTCTCTTGCCTGAACGCAAACACATGAAAGCCCTCTACCAAGCCATGCTGCAGATCCTGCCAAAACCTCCGCTGCGCCAAAAGAAAATCTTAGACACCCAAACTATTTTGTTCCAATTCATCATACTGCCACTAATGAGGAATGACTACTTTGCTTGAATTAAATAAAAAAAATAATACTCGTAATAACAATAAGAAACTCCAGCTCTGTAAATTTAGCACCAAATTGAAAAAACACAGAAATTACCCAAATAATACATAGATTGCATAAAGTGTTCAAAATATTGTCTGTCAGAGCAAGTGAACCTTCAAAAAAAACTGTGAACCACTTGTAAAGTAGCTATCAGGTAATCATTAAGCAAATTTCCTAAGTTGTTGGATATAAGGACAAAATTGGAATAAAGAATTCAAATATGTCCAGTTGTCCACAATTTTGAGATCCAATGCATCTAGGCCAGCAATATACACATACACCAACAATCTCACAACTAATAATAAATGAGAGAATTAAAAAAAAAAGCTTCGAATAAGGACTAGGAATATATATGCACAAACTAAAATTTATTCAAATCCAGTGACAGAGGATATCAAATTGCAAACTCACCACAAATGTCAATGCAATTAGGCATGAAGCACAAGCTAATTTCCAATTCAAAGATCCAAAGCTCACATCAAATAGAGACACCATACATCTAGAATCTATGATTAAACCACAAATTATCTCTAATGAGAATCAAAACATACTATTCATCAACCCTTAACAATCCAACACCCAAACCTAGATATTTAGCCACTCATGATTTCAAGAAACAAACCCATAAGGCAAGAACACATCAATATTAAAAGAAAGTAATCCAACAATGAACACCAAAGTAGAGTAAACAAAACTAAGAAATTAGTGAAAAGCTTGGATTGGAATACTTAACAAAGAAGGATGAAGAAAAAGGACCGGAATAAGCCCTCGTTCACGACTATCGGACGAAGACTAGGGTTCGCCGGAGGTTTGGCTCTGCTTCGCCACCCGGAGCTTTCGTCCACCGCTGCTGTGGCAATGGGAGAACCACTCGGCGAAGAAGTAGTCCGTCCCGGATCCTTCTGTCTTTGTGCCCAATTATGATCGAAATTGCGAGCACTCCCTCCAAACCGTCAATCAAAGAAGTGGCCGAACCACGTTCTTTCCAATCCCCGGTTCTCCCCATCCCACATTTACAGCCCTCTATCAACATTAAAACTTATCAAAATTATAAATTGGCCCCCATCTTAGTAATATGTTTGCTTATTTGTCCTTTCTTTATAATTAAACTCTAAAATCAAGTTATAAACACAAGCTAGTTCAAAATCACAATATTAACCAATGATATGCAATTTAATATAAAGAAGTCAATAAATTTAACAAAATATTATAACACATGCACAAAACTAGACTTCTCAAATACAATCACAATCGCCAGACACTTGATTCAAAAATCCATTCGCAGAACCCCAACCATCCCTCTTGTTTTCAATTTGTTGATATGTTCTTTTATCATATGTCTTAATTTTATTCGGTTAGTTTAGTCCTTTAATTTTAACTTAAAACTTAAAAATCTGAAATTAAAAATTAAAATTTTTAATTTGTAAATATTCAATGTAAAAAATTATTTTTAATCTTTAATTTTTAAATTTTATCTTTTAAATTTATAATTCATTTTTAATATCATATATTTTTGTGTGACCAAACAACAAAATTCAAATTGAGGTTTTTCATTTCCAATTTCATGACCTCAATTTCGTATACTAAATGATGCCTGATTTTATGGTTTCTTATAATTAAAATATGTAAATTTAATGTCAATAAAATCAATACCGACAGATAAAACGTTGTTGCTAAAACTATAAACAATACCGACAGGTAATTTTTGTTGCTAATACTATAAACAATACCAACAGATAAATTATTTGTTGCTAATACTATAAACAATACTGACAGATAAAGTTTTGTCGCTAAAACTATAAGCAATACCGACAGATATAAATTTGTTGCTAAAACTATAACCAATAGCGACAGATATTATTCTTTCTGTGGATCAAATAGTTTTTTCCTTTAAATAATTTTATCTGTCGGTAATATTCTCTTTTTAGCGACAAATAAGGTTTCTGTCCCTAAGGATCTGTCGGTACTGCCCTCTTTTTTTGTAGTGACATATATATACATATACATACATACATACATATATATATATATATATATATATATATATATATATGTGTGTGTGTGTGTGTGTAACCAAGTCGCATGTAGATTTGCATTTTGATCCTAAAAGTGCCAAACTATGTGATTTAGAGGTTTTGTACTTAAGTTAAATTACATGTAATAGTTTCCTGTTTGAAATACGCAAACTTTGACAATCAAAATTATAACAGTTTCCTATTTTAAATATGCAAACTTTGTTATATTTCCCTGTTACAGGTATTCGTTAGCGATCATTATATAGGTGAAGATTTTACACTAAGCTTGCGAAATGGGGAGAGTTGGAAGAAAGTTTTAGGTCCTGTTTATATATATCTAAATTCAGATTCAACCAACAATCCATCAACCCTTTGGAGAGATGCAGAAAATATGGTAGTTATTTCTTAATTCATAAAGACTACATACATACTAAAAGCTATTACTCCCTCCGTCCTAGAATTATGTTCTTGCTTGCTTTTTCTTAGTGAAAGTATTCTAGCTTTGACCATGAAATAAGGAAAAAATATATTGAATTATGATATAAATTTAATAGTAATAGATTCATTTTGAAATAAAGTTAAAAATTATCATATTTTTATAATATAAAATTAGAAAAAAAATAGATATATTAATGGTCAAAGTAATGCATTGGACACCATGAAAAAGCAAACAAGAAGATAATTCTGTGGTGGAGGCCGGAGGGAGTATGTGATATGAGGGTACAATCGTTTATGCAATTTGTATGCCATGAATCGAGAACAAAGAATAAGTTAACTACTATCCAAATTTTGTTGAGTATTTTGCATTGGAGATTTTGCATCTTGAGCGAACGGATGTAAAATAGCATTTTTACATGGAGATCTATACAATGATATCTATATGCTACCACTAGAGAGATTTGTAGTTCTGGACAAGGAACACATGGTGTACAAGTTGAATAGGAGTTTGTATGGCTTGAAGCAAGCACTGAGAGTCTTATATCTTTCATCCATAAGCAAGATTGATTTTCACATAAGTGAAAAAGATCGATATTGTTACTTCAAGAAATACACTCATTTATATGTGTTTCAACTCTTGTATGTGGATGATATGTTTATTGCAAGATCTAGTATGAGGGAGATAAACACTTTAAAGAAAAGCATGTCTAGTGCTTGAGATGAAAATTTTGGGTGCAGCAAAGTAGATTCTTGGGATCATGATCTTATATATATATATATATATATATATATATATATGTATGTATGTATGTATGTATGGGGATTGACTCCACTGAGATGACACCTTACGGTGAGAAGACATGCTACAGTCAGATGACACAAAGCTCACCACTGGCCACAGGAAAGCTCACCAAAGACAACTACAAAGGTCACCAAACTGTAAGGCAAAGCTCATCATATTTTTTCAACACTTTGATTATTTTTTTTGAAAAAATAAAACCAAAGAAAGGGGTGATGACTAGATTTTGACCGTTGACCGCGACCTTTGACCGTCACCTGCCACCTCCCTTCGCCACTCCGCCACCAGACGCCAGCAGCGGCCGCCGCCTCTCCGCCTCTCTGCCTTTGGTTGGCTGCCGGACTTTGGCAGCCGTCGCCGCTGCTCCGCCGCCTGCCACCGTGCCACCGCTGAACGGTGGTTGACTAGTGCTGCTTTTTTATTATTTATTAATTTTTTTACTTTCAAAATTTCAAAAAAGGTGAATTTTGGTGTTCAAAGTGCGTGGTGAGCTTTGCTTTATTTCTAGGTGAGCTTTGTAAGGTAGTGTGGTGAGTTTGGCGTCATCTCACTGAAACATGTCATCTCACCGTAAGGTGTCATCTCACTGGAGTCCATCCCATATATATGTATATGTATATGTATATATATATATATATATATATATATATATATATATATATATATACTCTCTCCGTCCACAAATAAACTTCTCGTTCACTATTCATAGGGTCAAAATTTATTTACTTTGTTGGCCTATTTTTGCCACCCATTTGATAAAATAATATAGTCATGTCACCTCTAGTTTTGTAGATCTTTTGATATAGTTTTTTAATATGTAATTTTTATTTTAAAATTTTACACCATTTTTCATATAAAATGATTTGAAAATAACTTCAGTCAAACATTGTAATGGCAACGTGAAGTTTATTTGTGGACGGAGGGAGTATATATGTGTGTGTGTGTGTATCCAAGGAGCAGTACATTGAGAAGGTGTTGACCTGATTTAAGGTTAATGATGTTAAACTCGGGATTACACCATTTGCAAACCACATAAAATTGTAGACTGCCGCTGAGGAGCATGAGCATATTGCATGTGTTCCATATTCTTCAATAATTGGGTGTTTGACATATAATATGATCTATACTAGACCTGACATAGCACATGCAGTGAGAGTGAAGAACCAAATGTATAACTCGAAGACATGACACATAAGGAAACAATATCATTTCAATCGTAAAGCAAAGAAAGAAGGGGATATGTGTTTGAAGAAGATAAAAGGTTCAAAGAATCAAAATGTTGATAAAATATGTTGATGTTGGAAAACTAGGGTTGTGTTAAACCTCGGTTGGCCTTTTATAGTTGTTACTACAGATGTTGAAGTGCGGGGAAGGTGTTGATGATGCAAAGGCATTGTTTTTGAGAATCTTCATTTTGGATTACTGAATCAGTCTCCAAGACATTGTTTTTTAGAATGTTCATTTTGGCCGTTTATAGGTTGTAGAGTCATGAATATTTGATGTATACTCTAAATCATCAATATTAAACCATATCATTGCGGAGGTTACCCACGCCGTGTTACCAGAAACTTTACTCTTTTCGTTTATCTCTAGCTCTAATCTCTTTCAAAAAAAAAATTTAAAATTTTGTTCTTCCAGTTTCATAGTGAGTATTGTTCAATCCTAACAGGTATTATTATTTTGGCAGGCCAATGTTGAAAACAGAAAATGGCCCTATGATTTTCCAAAGTCACATAGCTACCCTAATAAAGACTTTCGGGGTACACTTACAGGACGATTACTAGTTCGTGATAGGTGCATGATCTCTCTTAATTAGGCTTTTTATGTTTTACTTCATTTTTTTATGTATGTTGATTATTTACATATTAAATGTCTTTTATATAATATATCCATGAGTTTCTTATTTATTAGGTTCCTAGGCACAGGGTTTATAGACACAGAATGTGCTCACATTGGGTTGGCTCCACCAGGGGATGCTGGATCATGGCAACGAGAAGTCAAGGTTTGTTTTTTTTGGTTTTTTTCATATAAAATTATTCAATATCTATTTATACTGTTATGACTTGTTATGGATATGATCAAATAGACGAGTCAACATATTAATTTGCAATTTTGGAGAAAGACATCTAGTCATGTTGATTGCAAGGATGCAAATTTTACACCTATGCTGATTATAAGAGTGAATCATTCACACATGTCATTTCAATAATTTTATTACAATATTAGGGCATCTTTAGTGCTAGTTTCTTAGATTTGGTTTTTGGCTATTGTTTATTACTAAAATGCTAAGCAACGGTTGCTTAGGGAAGCCACCCTCTAACAATTGAAGCAATTGTGCTTCCATGACATAAGCCACATAAGCATTTCTTTATTAAAATAATGTTAAGAAACTTTTAAGAAACTACCTTTACACACATATAGAGGAAATACATTCTTCTTGGAAGGAAAAGAAAAGAAAATGGTTTTCTCTCATTTTCCTCACCAAAATGGAAGGAATTTGATTTTCCCTCCGCTTGATACATTTTGCCTCCTCATTTTATTTTCCTTCCACTTTTCCTTTCTTTTCCCCTCTAACCAAACAAGAAAAATGATTTTCCACTTCATTTTCTTTTCTTTTCCCATTCAAATTCCTTGAACCAAACATAGTGTTAAAGATGTTCTTATCGCTATAAATATTGATCTTCCAGGGATATCAGTTTTGGACTGAGAGCAATAACCAGGGACATTTCACAATCGATGCGGTTAGACCTGGAGTCTACAACTTATATGCTTGGGTCCCTGGAATCCTGGGAGACTATAAGTACAACAAAAGAATTGTTATCAAACCAGGTTTTCAGATAAATAAATATTGTTTTATTTGGTCTTCCGAGGAGTGTTTAGTGTATAAGTGAACATAAAGACTACACCTCGCTCTTAATTTAGTTTGCACTTCAAGTTTAATGATTTTAAATATCAATTGATGGTGATTATTATTACATACAGTTATATATTTCTCAAATCTTAAATAAATTCTTATTTCAGTTGGATTTTAAAGCAAGATACACCCTCTATCCTTCACGTCTCCAATGTAACATGAATATATTTTACAAAAATTTAATATTTCAAAACTACGTTTCAAAAGAAATCTATTGATATTACATTTATATCATAATGGAGATCAAAGTTTAGGAACTTTGACCAAGAAAGGTCAAATGGGGAAATAAATTGCAGATGGAGAGAGTAGTATTTTCATACTCTACTATTTAATTGATGCAGGAGATAAAATTGATGTTAATGATCTTGTTTTTGAACCACCAAGAAATGGCCCTACCCTATGGGAAATCGGTATCCCTGACCGCAAGGCTTCGGAGTTTTATATCCCAGATCCTGACCCTGCACTCGTCAATAGATTATTCCTCAACCATAAAGATCAAAAGTTTGTTGAATCTTACAAAGTTGACATTTTAAATAAAATTAGTTGTTTCACAAAGTTTACAGATAACTACAAATTTCATCCAAAAGTCATTTTTAACTAGTGGTTGTATCAACTAATGGCAAACACAGGTTTAGGCAATATGGACTTTGGGATCGATATACATATTATTATCCCGAGCATGATTTGGTATACACGGTGGGTCAAAGTGATTATCAGAAAGATTGGTTCTTTGCACATGTGAATAGGTGAGCTGAACTTCTATATCTAACTCTCACTTTGTTTGAAAAAGAGAAAAAAAAGAATTATTATGCCATGTTAATTTTAGACTATATTTGGGTTATAATGTTGTAGCTAATAATAAAGTTAGAATTGCAGAGTTGGAAGAAACCATTCATATGAATCAACCACATGGAAGATTATATTTAGGCTAGATAATGTTAGCCGAGGAGAAATGTATACTCTGCGGATTGTGTTAGCTTCTTCCTCTTACGCCAATATTTTGGTATGCCCACTTACATATCAAAGACACCCCAAATGTGTTGCAGAGTAATTTTTTGTTAAATAAATATTTCCACCGTAAGAAATTAGTTAACTTTCTTAAAATTTTTATTTTTAGGAAATGAGTTCAGAATATCAAATATATTGATTGATTACATAATATAATTACTGACATGGTTTCAGGTCTGGATCAACAATCAACAGGGACGTCCCAACTTCATAATCAATGGACTATGGAGAGATAATGCAATTGCAAGGCATGGAATTCACGGCCAATATTCAGAGCACAACTATAATTTCCGAGGAGATGAGCTCGTGAACGGAGAAAACACAATATACATGGAGCAATCTAGAGGCAAAAGTCCATTTTCTGGAGTGATGTATGATTACATTCGTTTGGAAGGCCCCCAACAAAATTGACCGATTTAGTAGTAAATATGTGTGGTAATGTTGTGAAGTAATATTAATAACAATACTCCTTGCGTCCCAAATTGATGCTTCTGATTTGACCAAACACAAAGATTTAAAAAAAGAAAATGCTAATGGTTTTCCTTACACCCTTGAACCGCCTATGGTATAAGTACACTATTTGAAACTTGGAAAAAAACGTAGTGCAATGCAAATCTCATCAAATTGTTGGGATACAAACAAATCCCGCATCGATGGCACCGTAGAGAGAGAATGAAAAGAAAAGTATCCAACCCAACCCGTTAGTATGAGACATTTTGAAAGGTGCCAAAAACAAATCCGTGAACGTTTGACTTAGAGAAGATAATATCTTACTAATGCGTAGTTAGGCAAAATTATCGTCAAAGTTCTCTACTATGACTGGCACATGAAAAGAGCAATGTAGATATATAATTCGTTGGGGTGATTGAGCCATGTGAAAATTCGTTGTTACTTCTGCTTAATTATTTATTATGTTGTGTTGAATTATAGGTTGAGTGATAGTCATAGAAGCTTTCACTATGTTGGGAAGAACATTCCACCACATCCCCGTTCACTACACATATACATACACAATTAAAGAACAATAAATAAATAACTCCACTATATAAAATATTACTTATCTTCCTTAATGGGAATATCTCTTATCTCATAAGATTCAAGCAGTTCCTCAGCTACTCTGAAACCATATCTGGCCAGATATTAAATTATGACAAAAGTGCCCTCATACCTCCCCCTAAACTTTGTTCTAGAAAGGTAAGGCAGATGGCAAGAACTCTAAATATGAAGTTGGGGCCTTGGGGGTCCCTATATTAAAGGCATTCAAAGAGCTGCCCACCTTCAGGCCTTTATTTCCCAGTTTGACAGCAAACTGAATGGATGGTGCAAAAACCTTTTGGCCCCTAGTGGAAGACTCTTGTTAATTAAACATGTTTTGAGATCTATCCACATCCAAACTATCACTGCATCTAAACTGCCTCTAACTATTACAAAGAGCCTCAACTCTAAAATGGTTAACTATATCTGGGGTCAGTCCAATGGCAAAGACAAATACTACTGGATCAAATAGGAGAATATTACTAAACAAAAAGAAGAGGGAGGATTATCAATAAGATTCAAGGAACAGAGACTTCACTATTCAATCAGCCTACATCTGATTCAAAGAGCTAACAGAGAGAATAACCTAATCATCAATATTTGGAAAGGGAATCAACTTCCAAAAATTTCCTCTCTTTTTTCTTTCTTTGGAAAGTCTATCATAACACTTTACCTTTTTGCTGAGAATCTCACCAGAATCAGTATCCATCTCCCTTCGAGACCTAATCTCTGTCTTTAGGCCTGAACACACTCTGATCACATCCTCAAAGATTGTACTACAGCAAACAAATTTGGAATCACTTTGAATTGATTTTCAAATTCCCTAACAGAACCATGCATGATATTAACACTTGTAGAGGAAGGGAGGGCCCAATCATACTTGCAGCTCCGGGTTTCATCATCTGGAATGAATGGAGCAGATGTATTCACAATCAAAGCAATCTCATGAATCATCAACTCATTGAATAATCTATCTATATACAAAGAGAAAAGAAAAAGTAAAAATTTCCCGCCTAAAGCTACAGAAGATGCAGTAAGAAACTATGAGAGTCACTAGACACTTTGGAAGGAAGGCTATTCAGATTCTAGTGGATTCTGGCAGTACTCACAATTTTTTGGATATTGGGTTGGCTAAAAGATTGGGGTGCAAGCTGGAGCCTATATCACTACAACCAGTCACTGTGGCTGATGAAAGTACATTAAAGTGCCAATATAGGTGCAGGAATTTCAGATGGAAGTTACAAGGAACTAAATTCTGTGCAGATGTATTTCTCATTCCTTTAGGAAGTTGTGACATGGTGCTGGGAATCCAATGGTTGAGTACTTTGGGCACTTTTATGTGGAACTTTAAGAATCTACAAATGCAATTTGAATTCCAAGGAAAGGGACATATACTAAGGGGGTTACAACGTCCTAAAGTAAAAATCTTAGAGGAGTCACAATTGCCTAAAGCAATGGAGGATGCTTGCCACTTGTGTATGCTGCAGGTGCTCTTTGCAGAAGAGCTGAAGGATCAATCTGGTCAAAGAGAAAAATGGCCACCAACTAGGGGTCTGTATGATCACTGGATACCCTTGAAACAGGGAGCTACCCCAATAAGTATCAGGCCTTATAGGTATGCCCTTAGACAAAAGGACATAATTGAGAAGTTGATTGATGAAATGTTGGAAAAAGGAATAATTCAGCCCAGCTGTAGTCCTTTTGCCTTTCCGAGATTGACCTAAGATCAGGCTATCACCAAACCAGAATGGACAAGGAAGATGTTTTTAAAACTGCTTTTAAAACACATGCTGGGCATTATGAATTCTTGGTAATGCCATTTGGCCTTACTAATGCCCCAGCCACATTCCAAAGCCTCATGAAACAGGTGTTCAGGCCACTATTGAGGAAGTTTGTATTGGTTTTCTTTGATGATATATTGGTATACAGCAATAATGGAAACCCATGTTGAACACCTGAAACAAGTGCTGGAGATCATGAGGAACAATACACTGGTGTCCAAAAGATCCAAATGTGAGTTTGGAACTGACAAGGTGGAATACTTGGGTCACTTCATTTCAGGAGAAGGGGTGGCCACTGACCCAAGAAAAGTTAAGGCAATAAGAGAATGGCCTAGGCCTACTAACATCAAGGAATTGAGAGACTTCCTTGGGTTGGCAGGTTACTATAGGAAGTTTGTGCGGAACTATGCGCTCATATCAAAACCTTTAACACAACTCCTAAAGAAGGGGGACTTCCGGTGGAATGAGGAAGCCTCTGAGGCTTTGGAACAATTGAAGTCAGCCCTGTCTACAGCTCCAGTTTTGGCTCTTCCTGATTTTTCTAAGACTTTTGTGGTAGAAACAGGTGCATCTGCATATGCTATTGGGGCTGTACTTATGCAAGATAAGCATCCTCTGGCTTTTCTAAGCAAGACATTGGGACCTAAGTGGCAGCAGCTATCAGTATATGAGAAGGAACTTTTAGCTGTGGTCCATGCACTGCAAAAATGGGAACAATACCTGAGTGGCAATTCCTTCGTGATCCTTACAGATCAAAAGATTTTGAAGTGGCTTTTAGAGCAAAAGATTTCAACCCTTTTCCAACAATTCTGGTTATCCGAACTTATGGGATTCCAATATGAAATACTCCCTCCGTCCCCAATTTGATTACAAATTGCGGGTTACGGAGTAAAATTTCCTATTTTTTGAAATTATTTTATTTACAAATTGGTATATAAATAAACTATAAAAATTACATTTTAAAAAAACTACATCAAAAGTTCTACAAAACAAGAGGTGACAAGAATATTTTATTTTATCAAATACTTGATGAAATCGCGTAAACAAATAAAAGTTATCGAGAGGAGAGAGAAAAAAAGATTGTAATCTATTTAGGAACGGAGGGAGTACATTATAGGAAGGGAACTGAAAATGTGGTTGGACGCTTTATCAAGAATCAAGGGGTCGGAATTGGGTGCAATCTGATCTATTAACAGCCATTAAAGAGAGCTATCAGTTGGATAGTAACTTGAGTGGGGTTGAACGCAAACTACAAGGAGAGACAGTGAATAAATATAGTTTCCAAGACGAGTTACTACGGAGGAAAGGGAAACTGGTCAGGACCAAATTCCAATCTAAAAACCCAAATCCTGATTTGGGTGCACAACTCAGCCACTGGAGGACACTCAGGTAGGGATGCTACATTGAAGAAAGTTAAAGGGTTGTTTTGGTGGAAGGGTTTGAATAGAGATGTACAACATCACATCAGACAGTCATGGGCGGATTACCTTGGAGTTTTTTTTACTTTTTTTTGTTTTATGTATGGCTGCCCCTAACAAAAAAAAGCCCCCAGTTACCTCTAAGTAATCCATTAAATAAATTATTTGTAAACTCTAGTGATATTAAATAATTGCGTACAACATAATTCACTATTCACAGGGGCAAACTTCATTCACTTTCTTTCTCAATTTCGTTAGCAATTTGATAAAATAAATATTATTGTCACTACTAATTTTGTAGATCTTTTGATGTAGTATTTTGATATGTATTTTTTTAACTCTATACTATTTGTCATATAAAATGATTTGAAAATAATTTCAGTCAAACATCGTAAATCGAAATAAGCATTATAAATTGGGACGGAGGGAGTATAATTTTACTTTGTTTTTCTTATTTTAAATTTGTTTGATATAAAATTAATATTTTCATCATGATATAAAGTACATCTAAAAAATGTAAGGGTTTGAATAGAGATGTACAACATCACACCAAACAGTCATGGGCGGATCTACCTTGGAGCATATGGGGCAACTGCCCCAGTCAAAAAAAGAAGTTTTTTTACTTTTTTTTTGTTTTATGTATGGCTGCCCCTAACAAAAAACAAAGAATGCCCCTAATTAATCCATTAAATTAAGTATTTGTAAACTCTGGTGATATTAAATAATTTCGTATAACATATTTCATTTACTATTACTCACTCCGTCCTAATATATAGTGCATGTTCACTATTCACATGGTCAAACTTCATTCACTTTCTTTCTCTATTTTCGTTAGCAATTTGATAAAATAAATACTATTGTCACAACTAATTTTGCAGATCTTTTGATGTAGTATTTTGATATGTAATTTTTATTTTTTAACTCTATACTATTTGTCATATAAAATGATTTGAAAATAATTTCAGTCAAATATCGTAAACCGAAACAGGCGCTATAAATTGGGACGGAGGGAGTATAATTTTACTAATTTTAAAATATTTTGTTTTTCTTATTTTAAATTTGTTTGATATAAAATAAATTTTTTCATCATGATATAAAGTACATCTAACAAAAATCGGGTGCTTTGCCCCCGGACCCCCGCTTTGCTATACTGCCCCAGTCATTCACAACCGGCACTACAAACAGTGTGTGGTTTGTCAAAGTTGCAAGTATGATAATAGTTCATTAGTTCATATCCTGGATTAATGCAACCTCTACCAGTACCCAATGAAGTTTGGAGGAATATCTCTATGGACTTCATAAATGGTCTTCCAAAATCTGGCAATAAAGAAGTCATTTTTGTTGTTATTGACATATTGAGTAAGTATATATATGTAAAATAGAATTTAGTTGTTGTAGTGTTTACATGTGGCATGCCACATGTGCACCCATTTATGAAGTGGATATATGCATTGCACCCATTTTAAATATCTTTTAATACATTATTTGTATACAATTTTTCATTTTTTAATAATTCTAAAAATATATATTTCACCATTGTAAAAAAATTTTGTATTTTGAATACACACACACACATATAAAACTATTTTTATATTATCCAAAACTTATTTTAGTTTACTACTTTTCAAAAAATGATTGTATAAATTTAATCACATGTGCATATTTATTACTAAGTAATTAAATACTTTTTTCAAAAATTTTATCTTACTACATTATTTATTTTATTGCTACATATATTTTTCAACCAAGTGAATAGAATAAAGTTGGTTTTCTTAAAAGGGTGACAAGTGACATTATGACACATATACATTCTCTAATGATGTATCATTATGCATGTAACTAATCCATTTTTTTAATAATATTTTATTAATTCAAACCATTTATATTACTACTTAATTCAATGACCATTAATTTTGTATAACTTTTTTGTTTTTAAATTAACATACCAATATATATTCCATCAGTCTAAAACATATTTTGTCACTATTAGAAAATTAAAACAACGAAAATTATATTTATAGAATCTCAAAACTTTAGAATATATACGAGCCGGTGCGAAGCACGGGGTAAACACTAGTTGAGTAAGTATGCACATTTCATGGCACTCAGTCACTCATTTTCAGCAGTAGAAGTAGCTCAAGTCTATTTGTATCATGTATTCAAGCAACATGGGTGGCCTCAAACTATTGTGAGTGATAGAGAAAAGATATTTCTAAGTGATTTCTGGAAGGCTTTGATGACAGTCCAAGGAACTGAGTTGTTGCTATCCACTTCCTACCATCCTCAAACTGATGGGCAAACAGAGGTGGTTAATAGGTGTTTGGAGGCCTATATAAGGTGCATGTGCAGTGAACACCCAAAGGAGTGGAGTAGCTGGCTACCTTTGGCTGAATGGTGGTACAATACCTCCTTTCACTCATCCATTCAGATGACACCCTATGAAGTGGTATATAGTCAACCACCCCCATCCATCTTCCATATCTTCCTGGTGAAACAAAAGTGGAGGCTGTGAATAGGTCCTTACAAAGAAGGGAGGCCATGATACAGATGCTAAAATTTCAATTGTTAAGAGCTCAAAACAGGATGAAGGTGCAGGCTGACAAGCGGAGAGGCAATTTGAAGTAGGTGATTGGGTATGGCTTAAGCTACAACCATATAGACAATAGACACTGTCATCTGTCATAGATAGTTATATTTCCATCGTGAGATTTTCTTATAGTCATCTGGATTCACCACACAATAGAGATAGTTGATAACTTTGGAATTTTGCATGACAGTCTTCATGTCTCGATCATCATATTCAGATTCCAATTTGGGAACTCGAACTCCATTAACAACATTTGATGGAATGGTGTCTCCATGCTTGTAACAATCCATGAATCAAAATCATTGGATTGATTGAAAATTCCCATTCTCTCCTTCTAATAAGCATAGTTGGTGTCGTCGAAGAATGGAGGACAAGAAGTGGATTGTCCACCGGACACACTGCTTGATAAGTTCTCCGGCCATGATTTGATTTTTGGCGGTAAAGCTATAGAAAACAATCTGGCTCCGATACCAATTGTTAAATGCCTTTTACACCTTTAGAGGGGGGGTTGAATAGAGGTGTTTTACAATCGTGTATAAATTTTCGTCTTCAAAATGAAAAATTGCAGGAGCACCAAGGAAGGAAGATATCTCAACCAATAAATAAAGTGCGAGAAGACAACAACGTATCCTAGTTCGGCCTTAATGCCTACGTCCAGCCCCCAAAGCAAACATGCCCAAGATTCCACTTTGTCAAATTTACACTAGAGTTTTATAATCCGATTATAACTGGACAACTTGATTTCACAAGCCTCTTATCTTTCCACCGAAGTCTTGATTTTACAAGACTTTAGATTTCTTCCCAAACTTGAATTATTTCAAATTCAAGTTTTTTACAATCTCAATGTAAAACTTACCAATGAAGTGCACATCGGTAATTTCTCTTCAAATAAGAGTGGATTGTTGTAGATTACAAGATCTCATAGAGTATGGCACACTCTAATCTTCTCCAAAACTCAAGTGAAAGAATTTTCTCGAAGAATCACTTGAAAAATGAAAAGGATAATGATTGATTTGTATATAACTATTTATCCCCCCTCAAGCTGAACTCTAGCTGAAGCAAGAGGAGGCTTGGACACTAGCTGCAAATTGGAAACTTTGAGAAGAGAGAAGTTTGACATGCGCATGTGGCTGCTGACTTTGTTGAACAAGAGAAGCCTGACGTGCGTCGCTGGCTGCTGACGTAGTTGGAGAAGAGAGAAGTTGACGTGCGCTAGTAGCTGCTGACGTCGATGAAGAAGAGAGAAGGTTGACATGCGCTTGTTGCTGCTGACGTCGAAGAAGAATAGAGAAGGCTACTGGAGGTGCCTGTTTGACTGAAGATCCTTGACATTTTTTGTCTTTTTCTTGGATCCGGGCAATGCCCTATTTCCTTCTTGCAGGGGTGAGTTGTAGAGGTCTTATTTCCTCTTTCACTACTTCTTCTCTTGGCTTTGTTTTTGTGCTGATTTATTTTGGATTTTTATTGGTTCAACAGAAGAGAAAGAGAAGGGAGGTTGATGATTAGAATGAGTGATTTGAGAGAAAAAAAAGTGAGTTAAGAATTGGTGATGGAAGAAAGATTTGGGTCTAAGATTTTGATATGGTGAATTGGAGAGAAACAACAATCGTATTTTTCTTTTATTTTTTCTGTTGAGAAGATAAGATGAGTTGAGAGAGTTTGTGAGGAGTTGGGCTTTTTTGAGAACCATGGAGATGACAAGAGAGAAGTTCCTCCTTTGATGTTTTTTTTGTTTGATTTCAACAGGAGTTTTTTCCTTATTTTTTTCATTTGAATGGAGAAGTTGATTTGAGGATAAAGAAGAAAAAGAAAATAGAGGTGAATAGGGTGGAGCCGCCGTCGCCGGAATTACCGGCAGTGGCGACGGAAGCAAAGAACTCTTTTAGGTCACCAAGAGCGTGGCTCTGATACCATGTTGAAATATTGGAATAATAACATTGCTCATTAAATTATGAAATACATGATAGAGTATAAATAAGAGAGACTCCTAACACAATTAGGAATAGAAAATGGAAACTAACTAACATACAACATCTACCACAAATAGGATTAGGAAGCTAACTAATAATGGAATACTACCATAACTAATTCTACAAGAAATACTATTAGTATTATTGTCCAACAGAATAATCAAAGGATGAATGTTTGAATGCTCTTGGGAGTGAATAGTAATGAAAAATCCGAAACTAGAGAAGTTATATAGGATATGGATAGGATAACTTCCAAAAATTTGAAAAAAATGATTGTTGGACAGTTAAAAACGTCGACTTATTTGGATAATTTCAGATTTATTTGAATATGTTCAAAGCTTGGCTTGAAGTTCTAAGCCAACTTGTTAAGACTGCTATGACAACAAACAAGACAAAGAAAACCTCTACATCTTCAAAGCTTGAAGTTTTAAGCCAACTTGTTAAAGACTCCAAAGTATCAAAGTATGTTTGTCATTATCAAAACACAAGGGTCAACAGGTTGCTCGAGGGAGAGGTAAGTACTATTAACATCACAATGTTATGCATAGATATTTTATTTTAAACATATATCGTATTACTTCTTTATGTATGCAGTTTGTTTGGATGTCGTTAGGTTGTGAAGTTCACATATGATAAAGGCATGGTGTGCACGATTGTACGGTACTTGGGAACGATTGTACGGTACTTCGGAAGGGTCGTATATTAAGTTGGCTCCTTTGCTCAGTTGAATAATGGGGTCAAACTATGGGACTATTGTTCATTTGCAAACACAATCAACTAATTCACCAACTAGTTTTGAGTTCAAGTATGTATTCTGGTCCTTCAAGGCATCCACAGATGACTTTTACTATTGTCTTCCAGTTATTTTAGTGGACGGAACTCACTTATACGGCAAGTATAATGGATGTTTATTACTTGCCATGGCAACGACGGGAAATGGTGAATCTTTTACCCGGGCTTTTTGCATTGTGGATGCCGAGGATGGTGCAAGTTGGAAATGGTTCATGAAAAATGTCATGCGTCATGTTGTACCCCCACACCACCATGTATGCATAATATTTGATAGACACGGTGGTATTGACCACGCATTTGCAAATCTACTAGAGTTAGGTGAAGGTCAAGTGACTCGAAGATTTTGTCTCTGCCACATGGACTATCGACCACGGAGACATCGCAATGAAGAATAGCTATGTCATGAATTTAAGTTATGTTTGAGTTTATGTATTATTAAATTCACAAAATAAGTTAGTCATGGATTGTGTTTTGTATGTAATCTTTTTTTATGAATAAATTGTTATATGTACTCTATCAATACATTTATTGTATTTTTTCTTCTTCTTTTAATTTTGTTGTATAAATATCTCTTAAAGTCAATAAATAGTAGTGTTTTTTCTAAATTTTTTATAGTATATGTTTTTACATCTATATATTCTTTATGTATGTTTCCTTTATTTTGTAATTAAATTATTTTCTTATAAATAATTTATAAGTAACAAAAATTAATCGATTTCATTTAGAAACTAAAAATTTAAAAATTTTTATAAAAATATTTTTATTAAAAAAAGTTAGAAAGGTTTAAAGCAAAAAATTTGGAACAAAAAACAACTATTTGATTAAGAAAATTATCAAATAAATAAATAAATAGGGAAACAGAGTAGGCTAATCCGTTTGTTAATTAAATGAGGGAAGTAGATTAGGCTACTCCGTTTTGGTAAACTAGAAACTATATAATTAGAAGAGTAAATTCCAAAAATAGTCCATTGTAATAAGGGGTTTCCCAAATTAGTCCTAAAAAAGTTTTAATTACTACGTGGTCCTCTATATTTGAGATTTATTCCCAAAATAGTAATAAGGTACTTTCCCAAATCAGTCCTTAATAAGTTTTAATTATCTATGTGGCCCTCTATAATTGAGATTTATTCCCAAGATGGTCCTTCGTAAATAATATTACTCAAATAAGGATTAATTGAGGGTATTTTTTATCCGCTAAATTTAGAATTAATTCTTAAAATAATCATTTATAATGAAGTGCTTTTCCAAAATGATTTTTCTAATTAAATATGTGTATTTGATTTGAAATTTAAAAGATTTTTTTAAGTTTTAAATAATTCATAAATTATTTATAGTCAATGTATTTTTTAAATTTTACATTTAGTTGTACAGAAATGATTGTTTCGAGAATATACTTTAAATTTGGATGATCAAAATACCAAAATATCTCCCAAATAATCTTCATTTGAGTACTGATTTGGAAAAACACCTTATTACATAGAGATAAACCAAATACATTTATAAAACTTAAAAAAAATTAAATTTCAAATCAAATACACATTTTTAATTAGAAAAACCATTTTGGGAAAGCTTTTCATTGTAAATGATTATTTTAAGAATTGATTCCAAATTTAACAGAGAAAAAATACCCTCAATTAATTCTCAGTTGAGTAACATTATTTACGAAAGAATATTTTGGGAATAAATATCAATTATAGAGAACCACATAGGTAAATAAACTTATTGAGAACTGATTTGGGAAAACAGCTTATTACAAAGGACTATTTTGGGAATAAATCTCAATTATAGAGGACCACGTAGGTAAATAAAACATATTGAGTTTGGGAAAACTTCTTATTACAAAGGACTATTTTGGGAATTTACTCTAATCAGAAGAAGCATTAATGAAAGAAAATGATAAATTTAAACTATAATCATAACATATAATTAAATATTAAAGAAATTGTGAATACTATACATGTTCATCATGAACGATCACTTCCACTGAATCTCTTCCTTTTGCCCAAGCAGAAATACAGTAGATATGAACGACTCGTAACATAAGCATCCAAGTGGTTCGACAATTTGCAATCTCGGCAAGTGCATTCCATATACTCTTTGAATGTTTTGAAACATTTTTTGAAAGTAGGCCGAATTCAGATTAGAGATATGAAATGTTTAAAGTATAAGTAGTACTCCCTCTGTCCTATATCCATCTTCCCAAGTTGACTAAAACTCATTTTTAAGAGTCTAGTTATTTTGCCTTTGACTTACCATTTTACCCCTCTTAACTTTGAAAAATCCAGATCCCCAAACTCTTTCAGGCAATTGGGCGGTACAATTAGCCTCAAACGGCGGCGGTGGGTGGCTTGCTCGGAGGCGGCAGTGGATGACTTGCTCAGAGGCAACAACGGGGGGCTGGAAAAAAAACCTAATTCTATCCAAAAAAATGAAAAAGAAGACTAAAAAAAACCAAAAATTGAAAAAGGAAACTAAAACAACCAACAAAAAAAGCTTACCTTCTTTGGATCCCCGGTGCACATCTGACATCCGATGAAGTGCTTGATGAATCGCTGATGGATCGCCCCGATATCGGCGATGGTGAAAAGTGGTAGATCGAAAGGGGGAGAGAAACTTGGAAACCAAACCCTAGATCTGTGATTTTGAGAAGGAGGCGAAGAAAGGAGATGGAAGAGAGAAGAGGATTAAATCTATAGATTTTGAGGGAGATAGAAGAAAGATGAAGATTACCTGTGATTACCGAACCCTAGATCTGTGATTACCTGGGTATGAGAGGGAAGAGAGATGGAGGAAGGAGAGAGGAGGAAGAGAGAGAAAGAACAGAGACGAAGACGGGGAAGAAAAACGGAGGAAGCCAGAGGGGGTAACATAGTCTTTTTCCTTCCTTTTTTAAGAAGTGGGAAGATAGTTTTAGGACGGAGAAAAAGGAGAAGTGGGAAGATAGTTTTAGGACGGAGGGAGTATATATATATAATTGGACAATCAATCTACTCATTAAATGTCTTGATTTAGTGAATCTATTCATTTAATATGATTTGACATAAAGTATGTATAGAATCACGCACCAATTTTACTATGCATGTGGTTTCATATCAATACATTACACATTTATTTATTTTGATTTGGCATAAAATTTATATCTAGCCACACACCAACATTACAACTTACGCGATTCCATATAAATACATTAACCATTTATTTGTCATGAACTTTGCATCGAGCCACGCACCAATATAATTACGCATACAGTTACATATCAATACACTACCCATTTATTTATTTTAATTAGATACAAAGTTTGCATCGAGACACTCAACAACTTTACTACACATGTCGTCCCATAGCAATATAATTTGACATAAAGTTTGTATCGAGCCATGCACCAACATTACTACGCGCACAGTCCATATCAATACATTACACATTTATTTATTTTGATTTGACATAAATTAGGCCCAATTCGCAGGCCCAAACCAATTGAAAAGTTCATTAAATTAGGCGGGAACACTATTCAAAAAATCATCCTAGCTTTGTATATAGTTAGATAAGGATTGAAATGGAGTAGCCAAGGTTGGTTTTATTTGGGAAAACATATAATACCTCCGTCCTACATAGATTTTTTTCCATTAACTCTTTTTATTTGTCCACAATAGATCTTCTCATTATCTTTTTTAACAATTAAATCATCATAACTATCCACACATACTTTATTTATTACACCTCACCTACTTCGTTTAATACATTCAACCCATTTTTATTAAGGGTTTTTTTGGTATAAGGAATTGGTGGAATTAGAATTGAATTGGAATTGAAATTCCATGGGATTCAATTCCATAGATTTGAATCCTGTCAATTTCAATTTATTTTTTGCACTATCAATTCCAAATCCACACAATTTTTGTGCTACCAAACACCAGAATTGGAATTGAAGTTCCTAATTCCAATTCCATAGTTTGAATTCCATGTATCAAACGGGGCCTAAAGGTATTATGGTAAACTTTCATTTTTTTTCAACTCTAACTAAAAACCATAAAAAGTTAAAACGAGAATATATTAAGGATACAAAGGAAGAAATAAAAAAAGATAATACCTTCGTTGCATAGTATTTGTCCACTTTAATTTTTACACACCATCCAATACACTATTTTAATTTATTTTATCTTGTAATTTGTACTCGTATATTAAAAATTATAAAAATTATACATTAAGATATATATGACTATATTTAGACTTACACTGAGATAATTTGATGAGTTAAACTAATTAGATTTTAGATGAATAGTTTCAAAAAAATTGGAGGAAATATTCCGCAGGGAGTATAAACGATTGGCAGGGAATTCACCCGGCAACCAATCTTCTTAGCCCTCAGCCGTATGTACCCCCCGGCCCTCCCTTATCAACCCTCCGTAAACCCTTGTTGATGACTGCGTATTAGTAGCTTGGTTTGTTCAATTTTGATCGATACTCCCCCGCCAAAATTTACATCAGTTGCAGTTAACGCATATTGCGGGGTGCTTCCTGCAGCTTCTCACCCAGGCCAGGCTAGTTTCACAATTTTCTCTTGAATACTTACTAGTCCTTGTTTTTTTAATAGCTGAATTTGAGTTTAACTCAATTATGAAACATTTTGGTTTCAACCTTCAAACCCTTACCTCCCTAAAAAGTAAAAACTTTCAACATATTTCTTGGGATCTTTTTTGGAAATACTAATGCTTCCATTTGTATACAATATTATTGAGATTATATTTATAGTTATTTTCTGGTAAGCAATTCGTAGAACGAATGGGTTTCTGGTGCTCCAACCACTATTCGGTCTTCACATGTGATTCAAGCAAAAAGAGTTGCTTTCTACTCTTCTTTTCAATTGTGAACTTTGATGCAGACAACTGAGCCTTCCAACAGCCCGCATATTGTTCTGGTTTCCATATCAAGGTGCGATCCCATATTTATAGAAGATGGTTGAACTAGCACGCCCCTTTCGCTGTAAGCCAATTTTCTTTTAAATGCTCTACGTTGCCTGTCTTTGCTACGAATATTGAGCATGATCATTTTTATCCTCCGTTTCTTCCTCACTGCCATTTGTTCCTGAGTATGCTCTTTCTTCCCTGTGGAAATTACACAGTCAACGAGCGCAAGCGTGTGATAAATAATTTCGCGAGATTCGACGAGGATGAGCTAGACATCCATGCCAAGGAATCTGTTTTTAAAGCTGCACCAAGTGTTGTCTGTCTCAGATCCTATTCTGGTACAGTTTTCATGCCGCTTTTCTTTAACCAATGGCTTATGATTGTGTTGCCTTATATTAGAGGTCTAATCGAGTAATTGCCGTCAAATTTACCGAAATATTAGATTCCTAATATACACACTATTAAGACTCCACTGGCAAAAGCTCTCGCTCTTAAACCCTGGACAACACAAATATGGAAGGGATGAAAATACAACTTTTGAAGTCCCCGTGTGGATTATTTCTTGACTTATTCTTCACATTTGGTCTTCTAAAGCTTTGACCAAAGTTGCAGGCAACCCGAGTTTTCTCTGGGGGTTAGTGTAAACAATTTTCGAATACTAAGGGACTTTTCTTGGAGAGTTGAGAAACAGTGCATGCATTGAAGATGCAGTACCTGTGCTTTTAGATCCATGGGGGTTAGACAAGTACAATTTTATGCGTATTCAAAATTTCTAGACGCTCTGGAATTAAGTTGTGTGCAAAAGTCATTCAGTATTTCAGTTCTTAAGGATATGGTCATTTTTCAACTAAAGTTACAATGGAGTTTACTCACCAGGGGAATGCGCTCCATAATAGACTAATGGCCATCAATGAGGTTTCTTTTCTGTTGAGAGTATCAACCTCCTCTTTCTTTCACTGAGGCGACCAAGAAGGAATTGGGTAGGCCAACCTGGTATGGTCACAAGTACAGTGTAAGCTTCTCAGATTTAAGTCATTTAACAATGAACAAAAATGAATGCTTACATTTGAGAGGGAAGCAACTTTATTAGGTAGTTAAAATTTATTTGCTGCTGCAGTCTATGAAGTGTGGAAGGAGAGGAAAATTATATTCTTTGCCCAAGTCAGGCACTCAACTGTTCAAACTGTAAAATCTATTCAATTATTTCAATACCAGGTTTGTGTCAGATACTTAGGTAAATGGTCATATCACTCATATGAAGACCCATAGATGTGTGTTGAGTCCAGGGTATCATACAATGAGGCTTTATTGAACTTTTTTTTTGTCTTCCACACATATTTACTCATACTCTCAAACTGTCGTAGTTAGTGCAGGATCTGATTTAACACTGTTTCTTCTTTTCCTAATGGAGGAATATGATACTTCTAACCGTTAGTTTATTATTGAACAAGCTTACTAAGATTTAATTGTAATGAATAGTCCAATTGCCTAAGGTAGTTACAACATCAACCATGCCTAATTTCAAAAATCATATGGGGTCAGCTAACATGAATCGATCCCATGAGTTCTTCAATGTTAAAGAGGGTGCATGAGGCAAGAAGAGGTTTGAAAAATACCATAGAAAGAGTTTATTGACAAAACAAATACATTTAAGGAAGTAATGTTAAAAAACCAAGATAAGTGAGGTAAAAGTGGGTTAGGTCCAATTTAAGGAAATAATGAAATTATTCCAAAATAAAAGAAAACCAAGTAAAAGTATATAAATTAAAAATTAAAATAATAAAACAAAAAACAATGGGCGAAGGGAGTTATTACGGGACAATATATGACTGTATGTTTAGGTCCATCAGACAGAGTTGATTTGCATCACTAAGATATTGTAAGTGGGAAGAGGCGGGCTTATCTTTGGCATCACTAGGATATTCCCAGTGACCATCTAATTTTCATCCTTGTTGCCATTTTAGATGCAGCTAGCAATCTGGTTTTCTTTGGCTTTGGAGTATGATTGATTAAAGCAAAATACATCACCAATTTGTTACATTTCTTCCAATATCCTTCATTTGATTCAATTATTGATAAAATTTTTCTTACTCTTCTCTGGGAACGTCTCTTGGATTTTCAGTAAAGGGAAAGGTTGTGTGCACCTGCTCCAGTAGGGTCTGGGCTTTATGCTTTATTGTAATGTTCTTCCATCTTTGGGAAAGACTCATTTTTCTGTTTTAAGAGATATACGAAGTTATTCCAATATTTTAACTATCTTGTCCAATATTTTGTTGCCGTTCTTTTTAATTCTTGGTTGAAGTTGGTGCTGCCTTAACTTCATGACACCAATGTATTATTGTACAAATAAATCTTGATCTTCATATTCTAAAGTTGAAAATATGAAAGCACTTTCTTAATTTCTATAACTGACGCCCCCACGTGTTTATTGATACTCAGACAACAAGCAGTTATTTATTTGCTGTGGGATCATCGTGGATTGTGAAAGTAGGTCTGGCACCTACATTGCTACTATTTTGACATCTGCCACTCTCTTGCAGTGTTCACATGCAGTTGAGTTAGCTAGTGATCTAAAGGTTAACCTTTATTCCCATCATTAAGATGCAGAGAGAATGTATCAATATTTTTATTTGTCTAAAATTTGATTTCTCTTCACTTGTCTAGTTGCGGTTGTAACCTCATTCACATTGTTGTAGATTGATGTGTATATGGTGGGTGGAAAATCTGTTGAGGGCAAAGCTGTGGCAGTTGATTTTCATTATAATATTGGTATTGTGGAGATCAACTCTGATGCACCATTCCTGTTACCCACCATTAAGCTTGTCGATGACACTATGGACTTAGATATGAGTCTGCCTGAACTTCTCAATAATCGTGATTCTGTTACTTCTTCAAATCGGACACGTCTCTATCCTGGTGATAAGGTCTTCGCTTTAGGACGCTTTTTTGAAGACCCGTATGATATCATGGCTGCATCTGGTAAAGTCAGGTAAACCTTTTTCTGAAAATGAAAGGGTTAAGGCCTTTTTCATTATATCTGCGTGAGCATGTTACAATTTATAATTATTGCTTGATGTTGAGGAGAAATAATCAGGAATGTTGGTTAAAAAGCTATGTTCTCTGCGTTACTTACACTGTCATATTGCTCTTGGATTTTGTCTAGCTTGGGTGGTTGTGGATTTGATTGTGTGGAGCTCTTCAAGGCAAGTTGCACAATAAAAAAGGTGGTCCACTTTTTTTCTCTCTTGACATATTTTGACAAGTTATGTCCATATTATCATCTCTCACATTCTCTATCAACTGTGCTCATAAGTTGATCTGCTTGTTAATGTAATGTGTTATCATCACTACATATGTGTTAATCATGAACTTGTGATATTTACGGCTATTCTTGGTGTTATTCTTTGGTTTCTTATAGCAATGCAGGTCTCCATTTGGATTTTTATAACTTTCTGTTTTGTTTCCTTAGAATGGTATCGGGGGACCTCTTATCAATGTGAATGGAGAAATTATTGGAATCAACTTCTATGAACCATCATTCACTCCTTTTCTTCCAATGAACATAGTGTGGAAATGTTACAACGACTTGAAGAGCCATCGGTAAGACTAGAACTCATTGGATCATTGATAGTGTTCCTCTCAAAATGAATAAAGTAGTTTATTCCTTTTTTGTAGCCGCCCTTCACGTCCTTGGTTTGGAGCTGTGGTTAGTGATTTTTATGCATCATACTTGCACAAGTTGGAGAACGTGTGGAACAAGTTCCCACATGCAGTGAAAGGTGCTATTGTGAACAAGGTTTGATATGCTACTAGACTCTCCTTTAGTATCTTTTTATTAGTTCTATCAACAACTCTTTTGCTCTGAATTTGCATCAATCTAAAGAGGGTGTTCTACACGTGGAAGATAGAATTGACTGTTTTAGCGTCCAGTCAATGCAACTTTTGACACGACTTTCATTATGGGTCTTTGAGAAAAAACCTCGCTATATTTCAACATCGGGAGAGTTTGCATATGCTCGAACCCTTTTACCGCGCTACTGATGGGAGCAGCGGCAGATCAAGGCCCCCCAAGCAGTTTATGTTATTTAATAGTTACAAGAATAGGAACACATCATTCTAAGTGCTCAGTTGGTAATGCGTCTCCAAGCTAACTTGAAGGTCCCACTTCTCAAAAAAAAAAAAAACTTGAAGGTCCCAAGCTACCTTGCACTGGGACAGGTGCGCTGGTGTGGGTACATATGCGTGGATGGGGACGGAAAATGATATTTCTGAAAATTACAGAATGCAGAGATGGCAAGGGTACAAAATAAAGAAGTACTAAATATAGAATTTAAAATGTAAACAATACTATCTAATTAGCAATTTAGCATATAATAATTCAAAGACAACTTTTGGAATTTAACAAAAAATTGTTCAAATCCATATTTTTAAACTATTCATTGTTACTGTTAATGATTTGTTTGATAAGAAAATAGTAATACAAGTAACAAATTGGGTTCTTTGGGGTCCCATTTGCAAATAGGGAATAATTTTTTTCTTGAAAAAAAGGAGTGCGATGGGTAACTGGGGTAACTCTTGTAGCTACATGTACTGGGTTGGAAGTCAAAGGTAAAGGAAATCCTAATTTCAATGGAGTCATCGCCTAAACTAAATTGGCTACTAGTACGCGCAAAAGAAAAAAATGCGCGTAATTAGGGTGCGGGTCGTTGTCTTGAACTGCGGATCTGACCTAGATACGTCCCCTGCTTTATCGGCAAATCCTATGCATCCGCTACGATTCCGGTGCATTTTCTGCCGCCTCCGATGGCGTCCCCGTCCCCGAGGCAGTTCTGGAGCGGCAAACGGCTCTAGTTGGCTGAACCTGTGCAACCTAGGGCCCAAGTTCCTAGCAGTGCATTATAGTTCTCAAATTTTCTAATTCGTCTTAGTCAGTGTAAGTAACAACAACACCACCGTAGTGTGTTTTTTTATTAAAAAACAACGCAGTTAGATCCCACAAGAATAGAGGGAAGGTGTGTGTATGCAGACTTTGTCCCTACTCAAGAGTAGAGATGTTTTCAAGAGACTCCCAACCATAGTTGTTACGGCGGCTAGGCAAGGCTGAGCGCTAGAGCACCTTCCAGTCGCCTAGGCGATTAGGCGCCTGCCTAGGCGTCCGCTCGGCGAGTAGGCTATGGCGACCATAATAATTTTATAGGTACTAATGTTAAAGCATATAGTATGAAATAATTAATTAAAATGAACACTAATATACATATATATATATATATATACACACACACACAAGCCTGGCCTATTTAATTTGGGCCTTATACTCCTGTGGGTCCAATAGTCTATTAATTAATCTAGCCCAGTTATTTGACTTTTTGACCTAGTCCACTAGTTAAATAATAGAGAGATAGGAAGAGGCAGTGGAGTCGCAGATCTGGAAACCTAAGCCGCACCACGACAAATAATCGGCGAGAAAGATAAGTCTTCTCTCCCTCTCTTCTTCCGTCTTCTCTCTATCTCCTCCTCCGTCTTCTCTCCCTCTCCTCCGTTCCATTGCGCTTCTAAAATGGAGACGCTTCTCGGAGATAGACTGTACAACACAGTCGCCCTGGAAAAAAAAAGCTAGGCGACCAATTAGGCGTCCACAAACCCTCGCCCACAACATAGATAAAATAAGATCACAGAGGACATTTATAGCAGAGATAGCAAAAAGCACATAGAGGCCCAGACCAAACTGATCAAGCGAAACAAAAACACATAAACAAAGAGTACCATCAAGCATACAAAGCAAACAAAGCACACAATAAGTGGAGAAACTACCACCACGTCAAAAACGCCTCCCCAACTATCCTAATCCTGGATCTACAGACGCTCCTAACAGGATTTGAACCTTGTACCTCCTAAACTAACTACCTTACCATCTTAGCTGACTTTGCTACATGCCTACATGGCATCTATACTCTTTGTTTCTTTTTTCTAAATACTAACCTAGTTTGACTGCAGCGAATCCCTATTAGACTTGTCATAGATGTTTACTCCACTTTTTATATATATTACCATAAATTATATCTTAGTTCCTCACAAAATTACGAAGGTAATGGATTTAACGGAAGTCAAGAGCAGAAGAAAAATTTGCATTTGGTTTTCGTTGATTTGAAGAAGGCATATGATAAAGTACATTGAAATTTTTGTGGTGGACGATGGCACAAAAGAAGAGTCCTCACAAATAAATTGATATCATTAAAGATATGTATGATGGTGTGGGTATAGGGGTGTGTAGTAGTGTAGGGATGACAAAATAATTACCTATTTCAATTGGAGTTAATCGAGAATCTGCTTTTAGCCCACTTGTGTTTGCCAGTGACGTGCAATTCAAGATGAAGTCCCATGATGTCTGATCTTTGTAGATAATATTGCTTTGGTGGTGGACAAGACAAAGGAGTCAATGCTAAGTTAGAATTATGACCACAGACTGCGGATTTTTCGGCAAAGTGTGCGTTCAGAAGCAGGAATAGGTCTAAATATATAGGAAGTAGACTTGCATAAGTGATAAGTAGTGATAACATTTGTTGAGGTTGGCCTCAACCTAATAGGTCACATGTTAAAGTCCCACACTGAATAATGAGGAGAGAGATGTTAACCTCCTTTGGGTTTTAACTTGGACTCTCTGCTAGACCGAATCAGATCAAAGCAAAGCAGAGTATTTTATAATTGTGAACTTGTACAGGATTCTTTGTCTCCTTGAATATAAATAGAGATCAAACTGACACAATTTTTACAATCCAACACACCTATTATTATTATTATTAACTACCCATAATTGCTTTTAGAAATTACCCAACTATTTTTTAGAATTATTTAAATATGTATATACTAATTGACCCGAACATTAACTCATTATCCATTCAGTTATATGTAACAAAAAATCCAATTAAATCTAACAATCACACCCTTAGTCGTTGTTGGTTCATCATCTTGAATCAAATTTGCAATTGTTTTTCTTTTGATCCCATTTTGGACATTCGTTCACAAAAGTCTTCACGGTTTGAGACCCTGCAACCACAATGCTCACATTTGTGCTTCTTAACCTTCTCTTTTCCATCTCTTTTAGTGAATAATAGTTTACCATGCGTATCTCCTTCCTTAGTTGGCTTTTCGATGCATTCCTCGAATGGTTTCAACCATCCAACTGCTTCTTGAAATGGCATGGTGTTAATGTCGGCAAACTGTCCAATTGCAGCTAACAATCTGTATGAACTTTTCAGGCACAGAATCTAAAAGCTTTTGAACCATTCTTTTGTCTTCAAATGCTGGCCCTAGGTTGTTTGCTTGTGTTGCAAGTTGACTAAGGCCCTGTTCCATTCAACTTATTTTTTCTTATTCTTATTAAAATCAGATCAGATCCGACCAGATCAGATCAGATCGAATCAGATCATATCAGATCGAATCAGATCGAATCAGATCAGGACTTATTAAAATCAGATCCCATCAAGAATTATTATTATTATTATTATTATTATTATTATTGTTGTTGTTGTTGTTGTTGTTGTTGTTGTTCTTAAAAATGAAAAAGAATAAACTTTAGAAATAGGTTAAATAGAAAACTGAGAAAGTAATCCTTAATTATTAGATGTCGGAAAAATTAGTTTTAAAATACATTAACAATGTCAATCTAATTCTACTTTTAAAATATATTTTTATTACTACTTGTAATTTGAGTTTCTAAAGTTTTGATCTTTTATAAGGATGAGATATTTTAATAAAAATACTATCTCTTCTATATATTGATTATCTAAATTTAATTACTTTTTAATGTATATCTAAATTAAATATTTATTCTAATATATATATATGAAGTAATTATTAAAATATTAAATTAATATTCTAATATAAAAAAATAATCATAAAATAAAAAATATTATTACATTTTAATATGAATGATTATTCTAATAAATGAATGAACTATTTTTATTTTATTAAAAATAATTATTAAATAAAAAATATTGATTATATTATAATATGAATTATCATTACGATTCTCAAATGTTATTATAAAGTTAAATCAAATTATTAATTTGAAATTTTAAATTAAACCATAATTAATCAGATCAAATCAGACCAGATCAGATCAGATCCAATCAGACCAGATCAGATCATATCCAATCAGACCAGATCAAATCATATCCAATCAGATCAGATCAGATCCAATCAGATCAGTTCAGATCAGATCCAATCAGATCAGATTCGACCAGATCAGATCAGATCCAATCAGATCAGATTTGACCAGATCAGATCAGATCAGAACTTATTAAAATCAGATCAGATCAGAAAAAATAAGTTGAACGAAACAAAGCCTAATTCTACCAGCAAAATCATCAAATGACTTATTGTTCTTCATGTTTACATGCTCATTATCTGATTTGAATGTCTATAATTGCACCTCTTTAACCTTGTCAACACCACAAAGCAAGTGTTCAGAGCATCCCAAATTTCTTTAGCTTTGGTAAACTGAGCAACTTGTAACATGATCTCTTCCAGCAATGCTTGAAATACATATGCTATTGCCATGTTGTTCTTCCTTGGATCAATTTCTGTTTAAGGTTCTTTTACCTCTAAAATCCCATTAACATTGAAAATTGCTTTGATTTTCACGGCCCAGATAGTGTAGTCTGTAGCAGTTAGAATTGGAACCTCAAAAGATAGTGAACTGTTCTCTCTTGTAGTCACAATCTATCTGTTTGGGTTGTCTTCCATTGCACGACTTTAACACGTTTGACAATTTCTGCAAAATTCTTAGACTTCGATTCCTTCCCGGGTCGTAAACCACCTGCAATCAACCATCAACCAAAACAAGCCCTTACTTTTCCATCTTCCAAGACGCTAAATAAAAGCTACCCCGCTACTTTGTTTTTCCTCCATCTTTTGGTTGAAATACTTCTAAGAAAAAAACTAGCCCATCGCTGTTCTTATTCTAGGCAAGGAAGAAATCTGGTTGTAGATTTTTGATCTGTTGTTGAGGAACTTGAAATGCTCTATTTTACGATCTGGCCGATCCCTTCTACTGTAGATCGCACACCCCTTGATTGCATATCAGACCCTCTCTTTTTGATTGTTGGGTCTTGATTGGATTGTCGCTTCGATACCAATTGTTAGATAAGATCAAAGCAAAAAAGAGTATTTTATTGTTGTGAACTTGTACAAGACTCTTTGTGTTCTTGAATATGAATAGAGAACAAACTAACACAACTTTTACAAACCAACACGCCTATTACAAACCAACAAACCTATTACTATTAGAAACTGAGCATAATTGCTTTTAGAAACTACGCATAATTGCTTTTATACGCATAAAGGCTTGATGGATGGTGAGACGAAGTGATTGTGAGAAGAAGAGGAACACCAAACAAATGTGGGGTTGGGTGATTGACGATAATATGAAACTGATTGCAATAAAGAGATTTGGCTTTGAATTGAGAGAAGCGAGAGAAAGCATTGGTGTGGAGGAGTAGGGTTGAGTCTCTCTTATTTTGTTTTGTATTGGTTAATTTCTCAGTCATCAGTCTTTGTGACTTAGATTTCTTTCTCACTCATTAGTCTTTGCAATTAGGTGGAGCCGTGATTATGTTGTATTTAACTTTGTCTTGGGGGATCCCATATGGCATTGCAAAATTGTTTTTTAGGACTTGGATAAAGAAATAGGTTATTCATTATGCACATATCAGAAATGATACACTATTTTTTAAAAACTAGCAAACAAATGAAGAACTGAAATTTATCTCAAGTTTTCATTTTGGTTTTGCTATTCATTGTTTGGGAATGAGTAGTTGGGTGGTACTTAACTGTTTTCGTTTTATTATGTCTATTGTTTTATAGTTGGGTTTTGCTATGTATTGTTTGAGTTGTTGTATGTCTGTTGTTTTGTAACCTCTTTGTGAAAAACGTTCTTACTTTTCTTACTGTTAAAATGATTGGACGATAAGTAGCGGTTGTGCCATTTCAAATAGGTGCTACCAGATTCTCCAGCTCAAAGTGCTGGACTGAGTGTTGATGATGTTATCGTGTATTGTTGCGGAACTCCTGTTGGAAGCTTATTGAAGGTACTTATCTTGTGGTATTAAGTTTATCATGGATCCTAGCTGGTAACTTTCTTGTTTACAATTACTCTCTGTGGCATGGGTAATATTAAGTTTGTGTAATTCAGCTCTATGCTTTCCTCACAAGACTAGGCTTAGTTGACTCTCAACGAGAAGCCTACATTTAAATGCCATACCAATGACATTTTTCCATGTGATAATGTAGTGCATAACTGCATATATAATGTTGTTGCAAGTTGACTATAGTTACTGAAGTTCTTACGGAAAATGAAGTGAATAGTGTATGAATGTTTACATGCCTTAATGTGCTACCATTCATGTATGCTATATCAAAATGCGATGCATTTAGCCTGTCAAAAGGCAATGACATTCATTGATAAAGTAAACATTTTGGTTATCGTATGTCAAGGAACCAATTCAAAAACCTCAAGCTTGTGGTTGTAGGCCTAAGAAAAGTTATATAATCTACCATGCCCCTTCACATGTAGCTTGTGTCGCTTCAAGCCATGCATGTGAAACCTTTAAAAAAAATTGAGTGGGGTGAATTTCGAGCTTATGACCAATTAATCAACAAGGCTTCTATACCACTTATAGGATGTACTTCAGACATTACCAACTCCTAAAACCAATTGGTGGTAGGAAAGGTGCATACTTTATAGAGCATTCAACACTCACAAGCGTCCACGACCTTCGAGTGTGACTTGTCCCACATAGCTTCCGCCATGGGACAATTGATGCATACATGTCCAACTATCTCCCCCACAACAATTGCCAAACTCGTGATCTTGGCTCCAATACCATGTCAAGGAACCAACTCAATTAAAAGTTCAAGGTTATGGTTGTAGCCCATGAAAGGTTGTATACTCTAACATCGTGTGGGTTGAGATCTGATTTCATGGTATACTGTTACTGTAATTGCTATTTTTTTTTATAGTTTCTGTTTCCACATTGTGTTGTTGTCAGCTTACTGAAATGATGTGGGACATGGAGGGCATGCCTATTGAGTTGGTAGTGTTAAGACCTAGCAGTGGCGAGGAACTGAAGCTCGTTGTGGATGCAGTGATGGCTAGCCCTACGGAATTCAGGTGATTTATTATCTCGGGATGCACCGTTTATTTGATATTGTAGTAGCTAATTGTAAAGTCTGTCAAAACATGACACACAGTGATGGTTTGATATGTATTCTTACTTCCACTTGCCTGTGTTTCTGTTTTCTCAGGTGGCCAGTTCCAGAACCGGTGATACTGAGGCGCAATTATTATGGGCAAGCTTATTAAAAACACGGCTCATGTGTTCAATATGTTCCTTATTCATAATGGTGTGGAGTAATATTAAGATAATATTATAGTACGTAATTTATTTGAAAATATTTATTAATTTTTAAAATTTGTGTTTATTCATTAATGGTGGATATGCATGATATCCATACGTAGCTTTTCTAAAGGGTTTTTAAATTTAAAAATTGAATGAAGGGCTTGTGAGAAATCTCTTTGAAATTTATTTGGTATTACATTGTTTGCCTTGCATTCATGGTTCGTCGTTGGAACAATAAAAAATAATTTTATTATTGTGATTGTACTTAGAAACATAACACATTCTATATTGGACTACATGTCTACATTAAAGTCAAGATCTAGTGTTGTATTAGATGTTAAGTTGTGCTTTCGGTCACTTGTAATTAATTATGGGCTCAATCTTATCCCTCATATGTTTTGTATATTTAACTCTTATCACTTCTTCATTATCATAAAAAAGAAATACTCCGTAATAAACTTATCCAATCGTAACCATTTAGTAGAATAAGAAACTTTTATGTTATTGGAACAATAAATAATAATTTTAATATTGTGACTGTACTTAGAAACATTACACAATCTAAGTTGCCTGTGTATCCCAATGAAGGGGATCAAACTATACGTAGTTTAGAACAGGGTTGGTTAAATTAACCTGATAAACCTTTTGCCATATGATCTTTGGGAATGCTTTCTTAAAAATTTTTTATCTACCTTATTATAAGCAACAAGGGTTACAAGATAGAGCTTTTGGGAAACAACAAAGGAGACTAAATTATATTGTTTGATTACTCTATGAAATAATTTGCTAATGTACTTTAATGAAACTTGTTTCGAGGCAAAAGGATAAATACTACTACAAAAATGACCAAATAGATTTCTCCCATTTGCATCGGTCTGCAAAACAAAGGATTTAAATGAAAAAAATTTGCATTCTTTTAAAAAACATAAAGAAATACATTAATTAATATTTCATCATCGTAGAATAAATGCAAGAAATAAATGCTTTATTTCTTATTTATTCAAGATAATCAATGAAATAACAATTAATAATAAATCATTTTTCTAATATATACTTTTTCCTCTTTTTCCTCTTTTTTCACATGCTTTATCTCTTTTGAAAATGGTCATGTCTATTTACTTAGGAGTTGTATCCATTCATTTAAAACATCTTCAATTTGAATTCAAAACAAATTTCCAAGAGTTGTGTCATTAAACAATAAACAAAACTCTTGAAAATAAAAGTTGTATCTATTTATTTTAAATTCAATTTGAATTCAAAATAAATCTCCAACAGGATGTAGGGGAGAAGTGTTGGAAATATCAATTCATGATACAAAACATACTACAATACATTAATACTATATTTGGTTCAAGGAATTTGGAAGGAAAAGAAAATAATTTTTCTTCGTTTTCCTCACCAAAGTGGAAGAAATTTGGTTTTCTGCTCTCCTATTTGTACATTTTGCCTACTCATTTTCTTTTCTTTCTACTTTTCTTTTCTTTTCCTCTCTAACCAAACAAGAAAGTTGTTTTTCTTTTCATTTTGTTTTCCTTTCACTCTCAAATTCCTTGAACCAAACATAGTGTAAGTGTATGATATCTTGTTCGATTTGTTGAGGAGACATAATATATATATATATATATATATATATATATATATATAAAGTTGGGTTTTTTAGCTGGTGTTGACAGGTGGATGATGACCAAGCAGCTGACACAGATGATTTCTTATGACTCCGATTACTCTTTGCTACCACAGATCCGTCTCGCTTCCATTTAGGGCCTGTTCTTTAGGACTGGAAAAAAAGAGCTGGAAACTGGAAGAAACTAGAAGAAACTGGAAAAAACTGGAAAGAACTGGAAGAACTGGAAGAAACTGGAAGAAACTGGAAAAACTGAAAAAAATTAAAAAAAAATTAAAATAAATTGAAAAAACTAGAATAAATTGTCAAATCTAAAAAAAGTTTTTAAAACATTTTTATGTGTGGTTTTAAATTGTTCTCATTATGATTCTTGTTGATATAAATTATTATTATTACTATTATTATAATAATAATAATTATTATTATTATCGTTGGTGGTGGTGGTAGTGGTGGTGTTATAACGTTATCCAAATGATTTTCTTTAAAATAAAAAAAATTACGAATATTTTTTTTCATACATAAAAAGATATTTTAAAAAATTAATTAGAATATAAAATTAGCATAAATATCAAAATGTTAAATATTTAAGAGTTATTATGGCTATGCTGTATTTATTATAAAATAATATATTTGTAATTATATTTTATACATTACAAGATTTTGTTTTAAATATCTGACATGTCACATAATGTAATCAAACTTATTTTTTTTAAAGATTGACAATTTATTTCCATTGTAACCCTATTTTTTAAATAAAAACATAGAACTGGTATTATTCATTTTAAAAAGTTGAAGAAAAAAATAATGAATGTGAGTCATAAAAATAGTGAGATGAAAAAATGAAATAATTTATAAACTATAGTTATGAACATAAAAGTTGTAATTAAAAAAATTGTAATAATAATAATAATTATAGAATATATTTTTTTAGAGTTATGTGTCAAAAGGTAGAAAGAATTTGAAAAAAATAAATATAGTTGGAAGAAATTAGAAGATACTGGAAAAAACTGGAAAAACTGAAAGAAACTGGAAGGAACTGGGAGAAAGTGGAAGAAAGTGGAAAAGAATGAAGTTAAGCCCTTAAACGGTGAAATACGGACTACGGAGTGCATACCTGGGGTGTCCAGACCTTTCTTCTGCCTTCATCCTCCCTCGCCGGTTACTTCCGTCTTAGAAATCGGTCCAGCTTCATGTCCTTCATCTCAGAAATCAGCGTCCCTCTCTTCGATTGAAGTCGTCCATCTCCGATTGAAGATGCCTTCGTCTGGTTCCGTCTCCAGCTCCGGGATCGAAGAAAAGACCCAACGATCAGCCCCCCAGACTCTACCTCTCTACAACTCCATCTCAACCCCGAGGTATTATCTTTCTATTTAACATATCACTGGCTTTTGCTATATTTTTTGCCTAATTGTCTAGATTGCAAACTGCAAGGATCTAGACTGCACCCTTTTTTTTCCTAATTTATGATTTATGCAGCCCCTATTTTATCTAATTGAATCTGTCTTGATGATATGAGTTACATTTTCCAATTGTGCAAGTTTCATATTTTTGAAATTCAATTTCTCATTTATTTTTTATTTATTTATTTTCGCACATTTTTATATTTCAAATGGTAGTATGACTGACATTGGAACCCTCCAATAACTCTCCTTTAAGACCTTGGAACAATGTTATGAACTCATATTATGAGAATAAATAGGTAAGTTGCAGTATTGGTTTCCTTAAAGTGGCAAACATTGGGTGGGTGAATGCAACTTATGAGAATAAAAAGGTAAGCTGGAGTTTTGGTTTCCTTTTACTTCAGTGAGAGTAATGGTGATATTTGGCCTCATTTTTCCTGGTTGGGGCATTTCATACCTTGGAAGTTACTCACCTGTTTTTCTAGATAGGCAATATTGTATATCACAGTTCACTTTTCTCTCATTCTTAAAATAGTCCTTATAAAATGAGTAGTCATAGACTAATTATATTATTCTAGACACTATAAAATCTACAGGTTTGATGATTATTAATAGAATTCAAGAGTTTCAATCATAACCAGTGTCATGGCGTGGCAGATCAAAATTTGCAGCCATGGTGGGATTGGTCGATTGATAACCTGATTGAGAAAGGGTGAATTCCGAGCCTCATAACATCTTTCTTTGAAGATGAGTTGAAGTGGCTGAATTTATTTCCACTTTATACAATAATCTTATATAGCATTAGTGTCTTTTCGTACGCGAGATGCATCGAGAGAAACTTTCATTTGTCAAAGTTCTAATAGATCAGATATTATGGAGTTCTTAGATTGAGAATTAAATCCCATAAAAGTGAAATATTTTCTTTCATTCTCTTTATTGAAAATTTGTTTATGCTCTACATTGTTGATATTATATATATATATATATGTGTATATATATATATATATGTATATATATATATGTATATGTATATATATATATATATATATATATATGATTGTGAGGGTGACACGTGGCAGGTGAGATGGAGGTGGCATGACATTGAGGTAGATTTAGTGTTTATGAGAGCCGTTTCACTTTCGGCTTTGAAAATCAGACACCACCAAATACGCTGTTTCATATCTTTTCACCGGCGCCTGTTCCCTATGCGACCGGAGAAGTTCAAGAAAACGGCCCGTAAAGCATCAATTCCGGTGAGCAGCTTCCGGAACCCATCCGTTGACCCTCAGAATTATCCAAACCCATTGTACACGAATGAGCCAGTATGAAGAAGAAACATTCCAGATTCAATTTTAGACGCATTTTGACAAGTTTGTGCCCGTGCACCAGTCATGCTGCATCTATCGAGCAACTCCGCCTAACCCATCAGGTATTATCTTCTTCTTTATGACTTTTTCTTAAAAGTACTGTATTTAAATTGTGAAGGGCAGACAGAACCAAAAACAACCACTTCTTATGCCTGTGTTGTTCACTCTCCAAAAATATAAATCCAAACTGAGTAGTTTCCTACTTCAAGAATTTTGAGGAAAAAATATCATCTGATCATTCTCAACTAAGCTAAAGCCCTACTGCACCTTAGCCTTTTAATCAATCATTGGGGGATTCATATCTGCACTCTTTCTTTGTGTTGCTTTACAGTTCTTTCATCTTTCATTTCTGTATCTATTGTTCCGCGTCTAGCTTTTAGTTAAAAAAGAGGGTTGATATTTTGAATGCTTATTCTTTCCAAGGTTATTAGGATCATAGTTACAGAATTCGCTTACCTACCCGCGATTTCCGAATTGGTACGAATCGTACCGGATCGCAAGTCGCCGGCGAACCGAACGCCACCGGTACGGCGATCCAAATCGGTGTGGTACGGCGCTCCAATTCGCAATTTGCCGGCGATCCAGATGCCCTAGAACATCGCACCAAGTCGGATAATACGGTGTACCAATCGCCGGCGGTCCAGCGATCCAAATTGCAATTTCGTCTCTCCCGCTACCTTGATTGTTTTCTCCGTAAATTTAAAAGGTCAATTCGCGATTGCACTTCCCCAAGTTCTGTGCAAGTCGTTCTTAGTCTCCGTTCATTTCTCGATTGTTCTCTGACTTCTCCCTTTAATGTTTCATTTTTTCCTAGGCAGTCTCCAAATATATATATACTCCGTATATGTCTCTCAAGTCTAACCAGTAAC